GTATTATATTCAAGCACATGCAACAGAGCTGTAAATATAAACAGGCAAAACAATGGAGTTGAAAATAGGAAAGAACAGGACAAATGGAGCTGAAAACAACTAGTGAGCAGTCGGAGAGAGCAGGTGTTACCAGGTCCAGTCAGAGTAACCCTGATGTAGAGTCTACACGGCATCAGATAAGATGTCCCTAGAAGTCAGAATCTCTGCCCTGAGTAGTTAAATGAGTGCAGAATGGCTGTAGAGGGCTTGTAGCTAGTGGTTTCCTTATAAATCACACACATTTCCATGATATTTAATTAAAGAGAACTGTTGTGAGCTTATCAGAATCCTCATAGGCAGCCAGGAAACCTGTTTCAGTCACAGCTGTCTTGGGATAGTCACTCACAGCTGAAAAGTGAATGGATCATGAGACAGGCCATGATTTACCCAGAATATTTCATTTACGGTTCTAGACTCAGAACGAACTTCTCTTTGAGTAGATGGGGCCACCTTCCATACGAGATGGTATCAGATGAAACTAACATTGGCCAGAGACACTGGGCATCAAACATCCGCTTCTTCCCCAAACAATATAATCTCTACTTGAACTTCATTTCAGAAATTTCCTTTATCCAAAATTTTAGTTATTTTGTTGTTTCTGGTAAAATATAATGTATCTAATTTCACCACGGAGTAGAATCAGGTTGTATTCCTGAGCTGAAAACACTCATGCAGTTTTGACAGAATCTCTGTATTATTATTTTCTCCTTTTCATAAATAAAAAACGAGACGCACCCAAAGGTTAAATAATGTGTGTATTGCAATTTAAGTAAATGATGAAATAGAGAATAAAACCTAGAGTGTCTGCTAAAATAAATAATGGAAGAATTGTAGGTTTTATTCTCCATTCCATGACTGGCTTAAAGTAAACACTGGTGCTGGAGTGTGAAATAGGAGACTTGAGGGTTATGTCCCTAGAGCAGGTCATCTCACAAATATTTGCCCAGTGTACATGTTGTGAGGGCAAGAGGCCAAAATATGTCAAAATGCTTGGAAAGCAGAGTGGTTATTCCTTTATTCTTTTGGGTACTGAGCTACCAAAATATCTAGCCTTACATCTGAATTCTGAGTTCCCAGAATGCCCTTTCCATAGGAACAGAGACAAGTCAGAGATATAAGTCACCCAAACTGCCAGAGAGGCTTGCTCCAGCTCAGGTCTGGGTTACAGTTAGATATCTGGGTGGTCAGCAGCCCCAGCCCCACCTGCCTAGCAGAACAAAAGATGATGCTTTCAGGTGTCAAAAAATATATAGCTTGTGTTTCTCATTTTTTCATACACAATTTTCAACATTAACTATAAAGTTACATGGCATTTAGAAAGATGGGCTCACATGACATAGAGAAAAAGAAAACAATATAAGAGAAGTTAGAAACACACAAATAAAATGTTGGTGTTACTTGATAAGAGTTTTAACTATGATTCATGAATTCAGTGAAAAAGAGGAAATAAGACAAGAAAGAGTCCAAATGAAAAGCATTTGATATAGAATTGTAAATATATTGAAAATATCAAAGCAACAGTCGACAATTGGAAACAAAACATAAATGGGTAAGAGGTGAATGAATTAACTTAAAATTTTATAGAACCCAAGACAGAATTGTGAATTAGAGGAGTCCTAGAGAAGAGGGAAGATGAAATGAGGAGAAGGGAGAGGAGAAGATGAAATGAGGAGAAGGAGAGACAGAGACAGAGAACAGTGAAGTTATATTTGTAGAGATAATGGTTGAGAATTTTTAAAAAGTGGATGAAAGCTATGACTCACATTTTCAGGAAGCTCAGAGAATACCAGGGAAGATATGAAATCCCCAACACCTTGGAAAGCTGATAAAAATCAAAGTGAAAGAGGAATATCATTGTTTAATGAAAAAAGAAGGCCTAAAAATGGAGAGAAAGGGCATGTAGAGCAGGTGGGTCAATTAAAAGTAAATGATAGATACTCACTCAACCATATCAGCAATTGTATTTAAAGTAAATGGATCAGATACTTCAATTAAAAGCAAATCAAGATAAAACAACACAATTCTAGTAAATGCTACCTGTCTAACACACAAGGACAAAGAAAGTTGAGAATAAAATGATGGGAAAATATATATACTATGGAAACTGTTAAACACATAGAGGTGCATCCTTTCGACCAGATTAAAAAAAAACAGGAGGTGACTGGGAAGATAAAATCCAAAATATTTTCATGACTCTCTTCTATGAGACAAGCCTTTAGTAAAGCAGGGACTTCACATTCAGAAAGAATGACAGGGAGCGGCAGGTCCTGACAGTATGTGCCGAGAACAGGGGAGAGTCAGGGCTCTTTGGCATCTGATACCAGGGTTGCAATTAAACAAGGAGATGGGGCAACTCGTGTGCACTGATGCCTTAATATGTGAGCCTGTGCTTGAGTCATATGCTCTTTTTTTTTTTTTTTCTTAGTAAACTACTTTATTTTGAATTCCTTAATTATGTTTCCATGCTGCACCATAGTGAAGAAAAATATAAAAGCGATACCCTAGGTTTTTAACTTCAAATGATTCAGTTCAACATGCAGTGATCCACCACTGTGTTAAAGTTAAGTTATACGTTTTCACAAACTGACTCTTCAGAGCACATTTAAAATATTTTTTAGCCCTGAGCTTTATTTTTTTTTTTTAAATATTAAATTTTATTTTTATATTCCCCCATACAATTGCAAACGCCCCATTCTGACCCCAATCCTTCCCCTCCCGCCCCCCCCCCCAAAAAGTGTCTCTGGTTCATAGTTTTTTGTTGATTTTGATTTTCACTTTCTTATATTCATTTTCCTGGTCCCTTATTTAAGTTTTCTAGATTCCTGCTATGAGTGAGACCATCCGGTATTTTTCTTTTTCTTTTTGGCTTATTTCGCTGAGCATGATCCCTTCCAGTGCCATCCATGTTGCTGCAAATTGCATGTGTTTATCTTTTTTGAATGCTGAGTAATATTCCATGGTATATATGTACCACATCTTCTTGATCCAGTCATCTATTTTTGGGCATTTGGGTTGTTTCCAAAGCTTAGCTATTGTAAACAGTGCTGCTATAAACATAGGGGTGCAGGTGTTCTTTGGAATTGATGTTTCTGTGTCTTTTGGGTAAATACCTAGGAGTGGAATTGCTGGATCATATGGAAGCTCTATGTTTAGTAGGTCCAGAAATCTCCACACAGCTCTCCATAGTGGTTGGACCAGTTTGCACTCCCACCAACAGTGCACAAGAGTTCCTTTTTCTCCACATCCTCGCCAACATTTGCTGTTGCTAGTTTTTTTAATATGTGCCATTCTCACTGGTGTGAGATGGTATCTCATGGTAGTTTTGATTTGCATTTCCCTGATTACAAGTGATGTTGAACATTTTTCATATGTCTGTTGGCCATTTGCATTTCCTCTTCAGAGAAGTTTCTTTTTAGCTCTTCTGCCCATTTTCTGACTGGATTATTTTCTTTGTTGTTGCTGAGTCTCATCAGTTCTTTGCAGATTTTTGTGATCAGTCCTTTATCATTAGTGTTGGGTGCAAAAATGTTCTCCCAGTTGGTGGGGTTTCTCTTTGTTTTTGTTATTGTCTCTTTTGCTGTGCAGAAGCTCTTTAATTTGATGTAGTCCCAGCTGTTTATCTTTGTCTTCACTATCACTGCTTTGGGTGATGTGTCTGTAAAGATGTCTTTGATGTGCAAATCCCGTAGTGTTTCGCCTATATTTCCTTCTATGTATTTTATGGTTTCAGGTCTTATGTCTAGTTCTTTAATCCATTTGAGTTGATTTTTGTGTATGGTGTGAGGTAGTGGTCAAGCTTCATTCTTGTCTTCCAAATTTTTATATAAGGTACTGCTGGTGGAGCATTTGAAAAAAATAACGGTACATGTAGTTGGTGCACTTTGGAAAAGTTTTCCATTATGTCATGGACATTCTTGGTAGTACATATCTTATTTCCCAAAGTAGTCATTTTACAAAGTCTATAAAACTTTAGAGAAATCTTCTGAAGTTAGAAGGCTGTAAATGTTCACTGTAATGATTTGCAGATGACTTATTATAAAATGTCATGTAGTGGATAATAAACCAGAAATGTTTCCAGACACAATGTAATTACAGAAGAATTTTATTATTTGACTTCTCTGCTTGTCTCCCTCAAACCCTCACTCCCCTGATCCCCCCCAATTCTCTCTCTTGTTACAACTGAAGTAAATAGGTATGGATGATTGGAAATGGAATAGGAAGAAATAAGCTACTTCAAAATGATTTGTAATAGTGAAGTATGATTACCATGGGCATAAATAAATGTACTCAGAGCAGAGAATAAAGAGTTGTTCGTGGAAAAGGGTAGAAACCATCAGGATTTATGAACACCAGGATGTGCAATTTCATGGAGAAAGGACAGATAGGGGATGTTGGAGAATAACAAGGGAAGAGAAGGGCATTGTAGGGAGATTTTTGACATTGATATTCCATAAGTCTGTTGGCAAAATTAGAAGAGCTGCAACCATTTCCCTCCTGCCTGACCCACCCCATTCACTGTGACTCTCAATTCTGGGTTTAGCAAAAGAGGCGTGAATTTTTTGGAATATTCAGTGAAGTGTTTCCAAGTGTATATTACTGAGTAAATACTTAGGTCAGAGCTAGGTCTCAGGTTTTTATACTGTTCCAGTAGTGTGACATTCTTTGCACTAAAGGAAGCAAGACTGTAGGATGAGGGACATGATACACAGATATTTCAACCGAGATTTTACTTGGGGGTGGGTTATGATTTAAGACTGAATTTGCCAAGGTCAGTGGGGTCATTGTATCTGCACTCTTAACAACACTTGACCTTGATGCTCAGGGTATTAATTATGAAGACTGTCCTTTCATCACAGGCCCAGGTAAAAACTCTGCAGTAAGAAAGAAGACAGAATTCTCATTTATTGGGGAGACAATGTTACAGAGGGTTCTTTGAAGATTTATTTGATCCAAAAGTGGTGCTACATGGTGCTAATATCAACATCATCATATCCAGGGTCTTCTTGTCTCGGGACCAATGGGAGTCTTTTCTCCCCCATGCCAGAGATGACAGTGCCTCCAGGAGACTGCAGAGAGAGACCTGCAAGGTGAAGGAAAATCTGGTTTCAGTGGTGACAATAAATAGAATTTTTTGGTAGAGGTAGATGAGCGCACAATGACTACAGAGTATCTGTGAGACCCAGCAACTCTCTGAAAGGCTAATGCTGCTTCTTCTACTCAGCTACTCTGTGCAGTCATGTCTTGTTCTTGACAGCTGCAAGGTATTGGGGTAATAATGGTGAGGACTAAAAAAGAGAGTGAACATTCTCACATCCATGTGGTCACACCCATGTGATTTCATTAGGAATAGGGGCAGGAGGTAACTCTCCTAGATTCCTCAATCTAGGAGATTAAGAAACATCACCTCAACAAAAGCTGAAGCAGGCCAGAAATCTTCAGGAGAACAAACTGGGTTCTTCATCAGAGGACAAAAGGAACAACTCAACCACACATCGCATGGCCTCCTGCTCCACAGGCCCCACGTGCTCACATATAAGCAGAGTCCTACTCCTAGGAAGGTGGTTTTTCATGTACAACTGAAACAATGCAAGAAACTTATCTCTTAGTTTCATTCTAAGCTGAGATTTTATCACTCCAATTAGGGCCTTTGAACATCTGCATTAATAAGAGATAATCCCAAATTTAAGGATCTAGATACATGGTTCCCCAAACAAATTTTTCTAGCTTTCAAATTTAATGGATGCTGCTATTGAAACTTTCCAGAATATGGCCCACAAAATGAAAAAGCCCCCAAATTTATTGTCAGATCACATTTCTTAATTTGGAGAATAAAAACAATGAGAATAAAGCCTCTGCCATTCATAGAGGAATGTCTGTATCGAGATGATGGAGGAAATGGACATGAGAACACAGGATGTCTCCTCTCAGAATAGATGAAATAGACACTATGGCAATACTTCATCCAGGTCTAGAGGGCCCCAGATACTAATAGTGAAGATAAACTGACTTTGACAAGTCCAAATTCATTCTTCCCCAGACAAGGAAATGAGGCTACTAGAAACAGAGCGGACACTCACCTGGCTGGGAATACACTGCACCAGCTTCCTCCTCTGGGAAATAATGATTCCTACTCATTCCTGGGGAAGTAGGAATTTCAGCAACAGGAAACTCTTCAACATCATCATAACCGTCTCCCATGGCTCTGACATGCTGTCCCGGAGGCTCTGGAAATGGACAAGGACTGAGGCTGGACTGGGGGGTGCTCAGGCCCTTCTACTGCAGAGATTCCAACAGCTGATACGTATAAGCTCTAGAGTCCAGGGCTGTCTGTGGCCCTGAGATCAAAATATATTTCATCTCAATATTCTCAGAATTATTTGATTCTTCCACATATCCTAGTATACCTTCCTAACATGGCTTCTCATACCATAAAGCACCAACAGAAGCTATGGTAATATGAAACCAGGTACTACATTCAAGCACATGCTATGGAGTTGTAAATATAATATGCACAAATCAGTGCCTTGGAGTGAAAATGGATGAAGAAAACCCACCTGCCCACATGCCCCTGAGTCTGTGGGAAATACAGAGCAGGCAGGGAAAGGAATGTGGGTACCTCTCACTCCCAGACAGGCGATCCCTTGTCCTGTACCAAAGGGGGCCTGGGTTTCACTCCACTGATCTAAGGATGCTTTGATCTAAGGTTCCAATTTCAGGATCCCTCTGACAGGTCTTATGTGTCATGTCCAGAGTTATCCATCATCGCCATCTGGGGAAGATCTAGGAGGAAAATTCTCCTCTCCTAGGTCCCTTGTCAATAAGAGCTTCCAGTGGCTGGTAAGTACAAGCACCAGTTGTCATGGTTTTTTAATTTTATTTATGTATACAAGAACAGGGGTACAGGCCAGAGGTGCAGGGAGTGAGAGGATTCACCAGAGACAGAGTGGGGAGCAACACAGGGGAATCTATGAAGTCACTGCTGAGGGGAGCAACGGGCGAGACCAGAGAGGTCTACTGTGTCATGCGGGTTAACTTCCTGGAGGGGATCAACGTCATGCTGCATTGGCTGCAGATAACTTCATAATGCTGCAACATAACCCCTTGTGCAACCAGGGAGCCCAGAGCATGTTTTCTTTTTTAAGATTTATTTATTTATATATACAAGAAGTGGGGTACAGGCCAGAGATGTAGGGGGTGAGAGGATTCACTGGAGACAGAGTGGGGAACAGAACAGGCAGACTGACTGAAATACACTGCAGAGGGGAGCAGCGAGCTAGACAGGAGAGGTCTGCAGTGCCATGTGAGTAGCTCCTTGGCTGGACAGGGATCAAAGTCATGCTGCAGAGGCTGCAGACTGCTTCACAGTATTGTGCTTAATTAACTCGTGCGCCACCAGGGAGATCCAGTCCATGTTTTCTAAGGTGTAGCAAAATAATTTTGGGGGCCTCAATGACCCACCAGCATCACACCATCTCCTGTGCAAACCACACTTCCCAGTGCTCACCATGGAAATTCTCAGAATGTCAGTATTAGATATTACTGAAAAAATGCCCTTTGTATCTCTAGTAATTCGATGCATGTCTGCAACTGATTAGAAATAGCTTTGGATACAGAGAACTGGGTCTGATATTTTCCTTTGTGAGGTGACAGAATGGAGAGAGAGCAAAAGGTTTTTGTGAAGAAGACAGAAGAGAATCCTCCCATCCTCATCACAGAGTTCTCTTCAGAAGAAATTCTTCCTTCTCATCCCCACAAAAAAGAGAAAAACGGTGTCTCCTACCTGGGGCAGATCCAGGGTCTCCCTTCTCCTCATCGTCCCCTGTGTAATACGGCAACTTAGTCGCTGAGTCTTCAGACAGGTTTCCTGGTAGGGGGAGAATATCACAGACAGAAATCTTTTGCCATAGTAGGAGGCCCAGTGTCAAGGTTCAGAAGATATGGGGCTTCAGATTTGTAGGGAGAGGCCTGGGACCTCCTGCTTTGGGAGGAGGCTGAGAGACTGAGTCTATAAATGTGAAGGGAAACCATGGTCAGCTCAGGAACAGCAGGGAGAGCATGGGACACACCTGGGCTGTCCAAAAGGTCCTCCTTTTCTGGCAGAGCATAGTTATCAATCTCCTGGTACAAGGCCTCATCTATGACATCTTCCAAAGCAAGTGAGGCTGCAGAAAATGGCATGACATCAGAGAAAAGTCCTAGAGACAGTCCCTATACAGCAGGCAAGGCACATGGTGCTCAACTGTGTCCATCTCTGGTGGTTCCCTCTGTGCTTCCTGAGCTTTGTGGGACAGAGACAGCTTTCCTGACACTGTTTGTGATCCTATACTCAATTCCCATTGACATTGTTTCTATAGAAAGTAATAATTTTTGAGAGGTTTAACATTCAACCAAGGATTCAGCAGTCTCAAATCTTGAAGGCTACTGTAGAGAAGGTGCTTTTTGCCAGACTGTGAGGGTGGAGACAATACTGGGGCACTTTCCTTGGTATCATAACTGGCTCAACACCTTCCCACGAATTCCCTTTAGCACCCACATGGCCCACCTTGGTGCTCTGCTCTCCCTCTGTGCAGCTGATTCCCCAGGATAACCAGGACCAGGAGGAGAAGGGCCGCAAGGATGATGCAGAGGATCCCGGGCAGGGAGAAGAAGCCTGGGCCTGGAGCTGAGTCTGATCTGCTGGCTGAGGACAGAAGAGGGTTGTGAGGTCAAGAGAGGGTTGTAAATCCAGGAGAGCCCTTCCCCACTTGCCCTTGTCTTGCTCATCCACTGAGTCCTCATCCATGAAGTTAGCACTCAGGTCCAATGCCTAGATTGAGCCCAAGATGTGCCCATACAGATCCTGCCCTGAGATGTGCCAGCTGTCTTCTGCATCTGTTTCTAAGGGATTTTTATAAAGTGAAGTGGATTAAGTTTTGGGGCATTAGAGCTGCCAGAGTTAACAGGACTGCAGTGCCGAAGCATATGCCTTTCAAGTGCTGATATGTCTAATTTTCCAGAATTATGTAGATGCCAGTGTGCAGATCCCTGAAAACGTGTGTGCCTCTATCTATGACTCAGAGAAGAAGAAGCACTTACTTCCAAGAATGGGCTGGATTCTTGTCCTCTCACCTGGAGAGAATGGGAGAGAGGAGTCAACTACTGAGCTGGGTGGGAAAGCCCCAGGTCACACATGCCACTAGGGCACCTTGTTCTCTCACAGCTTCCAAGACATCAGGCAAAAGCCACCAGGTGCCAGGCCCAGAGCAGCAAGTGAATCCAAGAAGAGCCTCTTGCTGCCAGCACAGTCCCCTCTTCTGCCCCCAACAGGGTCGCCCACTCACCTGAGCACCGAACTCCCGCGTCCTCCTCGTGCTTGCAGTTGCTCTGCCCCCACGGAGCCGCTTGGCACTCCCACAGGGAGGATTCCCCGCCCCTGCACCGCACCTCGTCCAGCCAGATGCTGCCATTTCCAGGCCCAAAGGCCGCTGCCCGCGGGGCGTCCAGCGCCGAGCCACAGCCCAGCTGCCCACACACCACGTGGGCCTCGGTCAGGCCCCAGGAGTCGTCGCACACCGTGCCCCACGCCCCCGCGTGCCACACCTCCACGCGGCCCGAGCACGCGCTGTCTCCTCCCCGCAGGCGCAGCTTCTCCCTGTCTGCAAGGCCAGGGGAACCCTGTTAGGGCCCTGCTGGAGGAGGAGCCCCAGGGCAGCAGGGGAGCTAGGAGGGGCTGATGTACCTGTGCAGGGGGCTGCAGATGGACAGCTGTTGGGCCTCTTTTCTGCAAAAGCAAAGGAGTAATCCTGGGTCAGCTACAGGAGTAAGTGGTTTTGCTCCCAAACTAGGTCACCTGCTTCAATTCCAATGACAATGGGAAACACGGGCCTCCTAGTTAATCTATTGGCTGAGTGGCTAGGAATCTCCCTAGATCTTTCCCCTCATCAGTAGTTGAAATTATTTTATCTTTGTCTTGTCTATCACGTCCATGTCCCACAACTAACACACACACAGACACACACACACACACACACAAACACACAGATGCAGCTTCGCTAGAAGAAAGACTACATCTGTGCTCCTGCACTTAGCTCAGTGCCTGTGCCGCACAGGTCCTCATTTAACACATGTGGGTGTAGAACCTTCGGTAAGCGCTGGGGAGAGGAGCTTGGTCAATCTTGCTGAATGAATAAATGACTAAAATCTAGTGAAGTGTAATTCCTTTAAGTTACTATTTGTGAGTAAACTATTATAACAAGTACAAAACCGTATCAGTGATCTGTGGTACTAAAAAGAAGATATTTATGAAATACCTCTAGAATCACAGAATTAATTCAAATTCAACACCCCATTTATACTTTTTTAAGGAAAAAATTACATAACAGATCAACCAAGAAAACTGAGATTCTGATATCTTCTTAAATGTGATCAATGTGGTGAGACTCTCTGGTGGCTCAAGGGGTTAAGATGCAACCTATGAAGCTATCCACAGCCACTGCAGCATGAGTTCGATCCTTGGCCAGGGAGCAACCCACATGGCACAGCAGACCTCTCCTGACTAGCCCGCAGCTCCCCTCAGCAGTGTATTTCAGTCAGTCTGCCTATTCTGTTTCCCGCTCTGTCTCTGATGAATCCTCACCCCCCACACCTCTGGCCTGTTCTCAGCTCTTGTATGCAAAAATAAATAAATGTTAAAAAAAAAAGTGATCAATGCAAAGAGAAAGATCTGGAGACCCAAGGTCACTGCCCTCTCAGCAGTGACAGTCAAGAGGAGAAACCAATTCCTCCCTGAGAGAACTGTTTCCTTGCACCTTTCCATGAGAGGTTGAGAGGTCTCTGCTCTGCTCTGCTTTCCAGGGTGCTCTGCCTTGCTTCTCCTATCTTCCATCTCCTCTTGCCATGACAGAATTTTCTCAAAACCCCCTATTACACTGACCAGGATAATCTTCCCAATTCCTCCTTGATAGGACTCTTTCTCATCCTTCATCTCCATCAAAGCAGGATTTCTCCTCTGGCCCCAAGCACACCTTCCACAGCACTTCCTAATCCTCATAAAGAGTTTGAACCTGGAATTTCCTGCTCCATGAAGGCAGAGATTATATATTCTCTCTCCTCTGTCCTCTGTCCTGGAGTGTAATTTTGATTCTACAAGACACGGTTTACTCTCTGCCAGCAGACGGACCAGGAGTCTGACGAGTACAGATGCATTTCCATGCAAATTTCAGGAGCATATGAGACACAGAGCATGGGGACCTGGGCCATTTCAAGGTTTTCAGCATAACATTTAGCTAGTCCTGACTCACTAGCCCTTCCCTTGGAGTTGACCAGAGGATTATTCACATTCCACACAGGTTCAAGATGATAGATCTGGTATTTTTCACATGTACTGCTGTCAGCACAAGTTTCCTTATATTTTCCTCTGAAACAGGACTGGAACTTGTTGGATAAATAATTATGCAACTTCATTTTAAAGACTTAACTTAAACTCATAAGCTAGATTTGAAAATAAACATCACTAGCAACAGCGTACGGGTGATGACCGACACATACAACAGTCACCTGCACACGTGATAGAAGCTTCCTCTCCTGAAAAGCACGAATTGTATTTCCAGGGGTCAGAAGGACACTGCCAGAGAGACGTATCAGTTTTCCTACACTGGATTCCATCTACCCACCGGGGTCTAGACCCTTCCCTAACAGCAACCAAAGAGTTGAGGGTCCCGCTGTCCCCACAGCCAAGCTGTCTGCAGATCACGGACAAGGTCACAGCTTCCATGGGGCTATTGCACACACTGCCCCAGGTCCCGTTGTAGAAAACTTCCAGCCACCCAGCACAGTCCTGGTCCTCGCTCACCACCCTGAGGGCCAGGAACTCTGAAAGAGAAAGGGGGAGACAGGGCACCATGGCACCCCACTCAGTGCTCTGGACCCTCAGCAGGGAAAGAATGCTGGATGCTGCTTCCTGACAAACTAGAGAATCTGAGAAAGCAGGTGTGCTGGGCTGGAGGGCAAAATAATGCCCCACAGCTGTCTGCATCCTGATCCCCGGAACCTGTTACTATCATTGCTTACATGTGAATATGTTACCTTGCACGGAAAGAGACTGTGTAGATGGGATTAAGAAAAAACCTGGCAAGGTGAGATTAATCTGAACATTAGGATTAACCAGGTGAGCCAAGTGTAATCACATGTTGAATCCACTGTCCCTGAAAGTGGTTTTGGTAAGAGAGAGGTGATTCTGGAGAATGGTGAGAGATGTACACTTCTGGTCTGATGACCAAGGAAGGGGGCTCTCTGCTGAGAGATTCAGACATGTTATGGAAGCTTGGAACTGATTCCTTCCCAGGGTTAGAAGTGATGTAGTCCTGCTCACACCTTGATTTTAACCTGGTGAGATGGTGTTGGACTTCTAAACTACAACACTATATGATGTTAAATATAAGTTGCTTTAACCACTAATTATGTGGAAATTTGTTACAGCAAGTAGAAACAAGTACAGTGCTGCTATAAACATAGGTGTGCAGGTAATATTACTCAGCATTCAAAAAAGATAAACACATGCAATTTGCAGGAACATGGATGGCACTGGAAGGGATCATGCTCAGTGAAATAAGCCAAAAAGAAAAAAAAATACCGGATGGTCTCACTCATAGCAGGAATCTAGAAAACTTAAATAAGGGACCAGGAAAATGAATAACTATAAGAAAGTGAAAATCAAAATCAACAAACTATGAACCAGAGATACTTTTTGGGGGGGGGGGGGCGGGAGGGGAGGGATTGGGGTCAGAATGGGGGGGTTGCAATTGTATGGGGAATATAAAAATAAAATTTATTATTAAAAAAAAAAAAAGAAACCAGTACAGTGGATCAAGAGTCTATAATATTATATTATAGAATTTATATAGAATTATTATATTCTATATATATGGAATTATTATATTCTATAATATTATAGGTAACTGAAGAGTGAGCCCTGCTTGCAAATGAAAATTGTAGGACGTGGCCCTATCAGGAGATGTTGCTGTGAAGGAAAGACCAGACCCTCAGCTGCCACAGGAAGGAAGGAGACACCTAATCCTCATATGTGCTAGAGAGTCAAACACTCGGGAGGAAGTTTCTACCCCTCTTCTCTTTCAGACTCTGTCTTTAAGGTCTTCCCCAGAACCGCACACTCTACTCCCAGCCCCTGAACAATGTGCAGTGCAGACCTGAGCAGATGACCCCAGCATCCTCCTTGTGCCTGCAGTCATGCCTCCCCCAGCCCGGGGAAAGGCACTTCCACAGGAGAGACTCGTTTCCTGTGCACTGCAGCTCCTCCAGCCAGATGGGCCCTGATCCCTCCCCGAAGTGAGCAGAGACCGTGGCATTGAGGGCCTCCCCACAGTCCAGCTGTCTGCACACCACGTGGGCATCACGCAGGTCCCAGCCATCATCACAGATGGTGCCCCAGGAGCCCAGGTGAAGGATCTCCACTCTGCCGGCGCAGCGATGGCCTCCGTCCACCAGGCGGAGCTGTGTGATGTCTGCGGAGAGAGTCAGGTCAAGGGGTCTGTCTAATGTGCAAGGAGAAGCTTTCCTGGTCCTGGAAGACCATCACCTGAGCAGCTGGCTGTGCCCTCCTCTGAGGCTGTAGAGCCTGCTGGTGGAGACGGGGAGTGGGTGCACAGGGGCAGCACCTGGGTCTGGTTTCCTGCAGAGCAGTGAGATCAGAGGGTTAGTGGGGTTGAAGAGCAGAAAACTGAATTAAATGACATCATAAGCTAGTGGGGAGGCCTGTGATAGATACTCTAACAAGACACTCATGGCATCATTATTTTACTGTTCACTTGCAGTATAGAAGTTGTGCCTCCAAAATACCAATATTTCCATTTTTAAGAAAAAATACTGAGAATCACTGAGAATGAATGTAGAAAAGTGGGAATATGGCAATAGTGTTGAAGTGTTGCTGAGCTTCCAGGACAGTGAGCATTTTGGAGCCAGATGCTCAGAGAGAAGCAAAGAACAGAGTTGAGCCTATTTCCTCTTGAGACCTCTGTCAATTCAATGTTATAGATGTGACTCTGAAAACCTCAGCAGAGTATTGGAAGCAGGAGAGTAAAGTGGGAGATCAGAGGAGAATATAAGGAACAGAGCACAGGAGGAAACAATAGAAAACATGAATAGGGGCACAGAATATATGGTAAAAGGTTTAATTTCCGTATTTATGAAGTTTTAGATCCTTAGATACACAAATGAAAGAAGGAAATGTGGAATCTAAAAATCCACTATCAGGTGGTATATTTCATATATCCTGGTGCTTTTTAAACACATCCTAAATTGTTGATACTGTGTCCACTGAGGGATGAGATCTTTGTCTCATTCCCTTGCATCTCAAATGAACTTCATGACTTGCTTGTAGGCAACGTGATGCAGTGGAGCCAACACTGCTGATTCCCTGCACCAGGACAGAAAAGTAGGGCAGCCTCCCCAGCCCCACCGAGGACACATGCTTTAGCGGAGCTGCTCTGCTGAGCCTGTCTTGGGAGAGCCACAATTAGGGAGTCTGCCATCCTGTCATTGGGCATCCTGGGTTCCCAGGTCAGGCAGCTCTGGCATGACTTCAGCCAGATGACTTCAGCTATGTGACAACGCCAAAGAGAACTGCCACTGAGCTTCCCCATTCCTGTCCCGAAAATCACAGCAAAATAAAATGCATTTTTTTCCTGTCGCTAAATTTTTTGGGAAAATTGGTAGTACAGCAATAGTAACCCAGACACGTATCGTGAGGCCTAAAAGGGAAGAGAAATGCTTTACTTCAATTAAACTTCTCTTACAGAGAATTTAAAATGTGTGTCTGCAGGACTTGTGCGTGGATGTTGAGAACATCTTTAGTCGCAAGCGCTAAGACTTGTTCCTTCGGGTCAAGGCAGTAGGAAGAAGTAAGAAGTCTGATGGGTTAGGGGGAATTATGATGAGGGATTAAGGAATGATGAAAATGAAATTTGAAGAAGAAAACAAAATGATTCCTTACCAAGGTCATATTTTGAAAAATGTGTATTCAGAAAACAAAAGTAAAAGATGTGTCTCAATAACTGAGAGAAAAGCTATCAGTAGGTATTTGGAATATCTGAATTGTAAGATTTGTATAATCTGCACCTCAAAACAGAAGAATACACATTATTCTTAAGAGCATGTAGGCCATTTATCAAAACTGGTTGTATGTTATGGTAAATGAGTTCCAGATGTTTTTCTAAGGAAAAACTAAGAAAAAGTCAAAGAAATCATATATTTTGACCACAGAGAATTAATCTAGAAACAAAAGAAAACTGGTAAAAAAAATTAAACTGTATTAAAATGTATTTCTAATACAATAAAACACCAACACTAAGAGTACATGGGATACATTTTGACAAATATTTGTATCTACATAACCCACTCTTCACTCATGAACCAGTTTTCCCACACGTCCTGCTCTGAGGGACCGGAGCACCCTGAGTGCAGCTAGTCCCTCTCTCACCTGAGCAGATCACAGAGGCTGTGTTTCCAGGGCCACAGTCAGGAGTGCCCAGGGCAGTCACAGAGCAGTTCCACAAAAAGGATTCAAGCCCCGAGCAGTGAAATCGGCCCCTCCAGACTGGGATGTCTCCTCCCCTAGAGTGTGCTCCTTTGGTGGTGGACAGGGCGACTCCACAGCCAAGCTGACGACACACAACATGGGCATTGGCCAGACTCCAGTGGGAGGCGCAGAGCATGCTCCAGTGCCCAGAAAATCTCATCTCCACCTGTCCCTCACACTGAGAGCTGCCCTCGTTCATGAGCCGGATTTCTGTGTATGCTAGGAGAAGACAGGATTTCAGTCAGTCCTCACATGTTTCTTTCCCCAATGTAGTAAACAGGGAGGCTGAATCCTGCTTGAGTCTCACCTGAGCAGACAAGGTGAACAGCCCTATGGTGGCGGCAGGTGCCTCCAGGACAGGGCACCCTGGGGCACAGCTGGAGCAGAGACTCCTGGCCCTCACACCGGAACTCCTCAGCAAAAACCCGTCCATCTGACTCTCTGAAGGGCACACCACCCAGCACAGACACAGCCTTGCCACACCCCAGCTGTGCACAGATGACTTGGGCGGTGAGGGACATGAGGTTCCCGTCAGACACTGGAATCCAGTCTCCTCTAGAATACACTTCCACTCGCCCTGAGCAGTGTCCATCCCCTCCAGCCAGACGCACAGATAATCCTAGAGAAAAGAAAAGTGAGTGAGTGCTCACGGCCTGTCAATGGTATCAGAAACAGCACGTAGAGGCAATGGTGTGAATATCTTTCTCTCTAAGAACAGAGCATGGAGAGACAAACTGATAGAGCCAGAACTGCATTTTCATGAGCGAGTTTCTGAAGAGAAGAGGATTTTCAGGGTCAGTTTGATAAATAAATCCCAAGAACATGCACACTTTGAGGTATTAAAAGTGTGAATCCTTATCTAGGGGTCAGGGAGCTACAGGACCTGAGGACATGCTCTGTGGTGGGATCAGACTTGGCCCCAAGATGGACTAGCGCAGAGTCAACAGAGCCGTGGCATTAGAGAGGCTAGAGACCTGTCATCCAGATGTGACGGCCACCCTGAGATTTCTGGGGTTAGAATTCTGGGCACTGTTGTTGCAGGGGCTGGTCCCCAAGAGACTGAGGATTAGGAAATCCACAAGTCCTGCCCATGAGAGCTGCCAGCCACACATAGACTGATGCTCCAGGGAGGAAATAGACATCGATGATCACTTTTATGGTTTCAAATTTTATTTTTTGATAATTTTTGATGGCAAGAAAGTCCAAGAATTTCTTAGGTGACCTGATTGTGAAAGAGGCTGTGCTCAGAGGAATGAGGATGCTCAGAAAGCTCAGAATCATAGTGCATGGAGGGTAGATCCTGGTGTCTCTCCTGAAGCCCTGGGATTTGCCGGTGAACCTGAACCTCAGTGGGAGATCATGAGAGAACTGACCTTGAGATCCCTTCCTACTACAGGTTTTCTTCCAAGACCTGGAAATGTTAGGGAATGAGTGCAATTGATGTATTTTAATCCTATTGCTATGTTAACTGTGTATTCCTGTCCTGTGTGTGTTCTGAATAAGCAGCAGTAAAAAGGTGAGAAGAAAGAAAGCAGGGAAGCCCACAGGTCAAAATTTGGGGTTTTTTTTAAAGATTTATTTATTTATGCATACAAACTGGGGTACAGGCCAGAGGTGTTGGGGGTAAGAGGATTCACCAGAGACAGAGTGGGGAACAGAACAGGCAGACTGACTGAAATACACTGCTGAGGGGAGCAGTGGGTGAGTCAGGAGAGGTCTGCTGTGCCATGTGGGTAGCTCCCTGTCTGGGGCTTGAACTTGTGCTGCAGAGGCTGTGGATAGCTTCACAGGTTGGGTGTTAACCCCTTACACCACCAGGGAGGCCCATACAGATCATAATTTGGATTGCACCAGCCTTACTAGGGATAAAAGATACAAATATTTGGAGAAAATATTTGTCAAACAAGATGTGAACACATTTTATCATCTTGTATTCCTCCCACCACCACATATCCCTGCAATCCTTTCTCATTTCTTTCATGTAGACAAGAAAAAAAAAAAAAACAATATTAAGTGCTACAATTGGATGGAAAGGAGAATTAAAAGGGCAGAAATGTTTGTGTAGTGGGGTGTGGGTGGGGTATGTGGTAGGTAATGTTGGGAGTGAATGAAGTTGAAACTTAAAGAGGAAGACCACAGAAAACGTTCATGATCAGGGCCTCCTTGGTGGTGCAAAGGGTTAAGACGCAACCTATGAAGCTGGCCACAGCACAAGTTCTATTCCTAGCCAGGAAGCTACCCACAAGGCACAGCAGACCTTTCCTGACTTGACCACAGCTCCCCTTAGCAGTGTATTTCAGTGGATCTGCCTGTTTTGTTCCCCACTCTGCCTCTGGTGAATCCTCTCACCCCCCACAACTCTGGCCTGTACCCCAGCTCTTGTATGGATAAATCAATGAATCTTTAAAAAAAATAGATCCATGATCATAATTTGGTCATTCAGAGGCCATATTTTGGATAAAATGAAATGAAAATGAACAGAATAACCCAAATTATAAAGATTTTTTTTTCATATGCATGTCTGGCATCTGAGTGTGGCATATTATTTATGGACATGGTAGAATTCTTTCTGGTATAAGATTCTGTGTAAGGATGCAAACTGTGAAGCATGTATGATAGGAATTCAGAAGAATGTTCTAAAAAACTAAAAATATGCTACAGAGAGCAAAAAAAAAAATAGAAATGACACACAAAAATTAAAGATTTAAGGACTAGTGGTTCACTTACATGAGTATGACTGGTGAGATCATAGCGTGTCTTTTATTTCTGACCCATTTCCATACCCAGAGAGCCCCAGGGCAGGACCCCCAATCTGGGCTAGTGGGAAGTTGACCACAGGCCTCTCATTCTAATTAAAGCACTTTTCTCATAACATGAGGTTAGTTTCAATATTAATCTCGTGAAATGACAAACCCAGAATAAGAGAGAAATATTCTTGTATACTATGTTATTTAATCTGACATATATTATTCAAATATATGTTGAATGATAAGTTCTCAAGCAAATCAAGATAGAGCCTTCTGAAGCAAATTACTGTTAATTCCTTTTCTAATTGATTTTAAAACTCACATGGAGGAAATTTTTTTAAATAAATTTTATTTTTTATATTCCCCATACAATTGCAACCCCCTTATTTTGACCCCAATCCCTCCCCGCCCCCTACCCACCATAGTGTCTCTGGTTCATAGTTTTTTGTTGATTTTGATTTTTCACTTTCTTATAGTTATTCATTTTCCTGGTCCCTTATTTAAGTTTTCTAGATTACATGGAGGAAATTTTAGGAAACTTATGAAATCAAAGATGTGAAGGGATTATATATCAAAACATAACAATAGACAAGGGTGGGAAGGAGTGAACATGAAATATCTAATCATCTCAAAGATGCACACAGAAATTTAGTATTTGTAAAGCGAATATTTTAAATCATTTAAGAAGCTACATTATTCAGCAAATAATGTTGATAACTTAGACATAGATTTGAAATATAATAAAATTATATTTCCACTTGATATTAATCTCAAAAGTAAATTTATAGTAATTAAAAATCTATATATAAGAATCGAAGCAGAATAATTGGGAGACAAAATAATTTGCATACATTCTTCAAAAAAAAAAGTTGATTGTAAGGAAAACTAATTCTAGGGTTTTCTTATTAACATGATCTTTTCCAGCATGCCTTCCAATGCTGACCTACTGATTTAAAGTCATTCACCTCTGTGATGTGACAGAAATACTTTCACTCATCAATAACTTGATAAGGACATTTTATTCATGTATGTATTTTGTTTTTTTAATTTTTTTTAATTTAATCATTCATTTTCTTACATCATTGTTCATTTTTGGGTGTAGACCCCATAGTTCCACCACCAAATCATCTGTGCACCATCACATAGTACCTGTGCTCTTCCCTCCCTTGTTTTTACCCCTCTCTCTCCCTTCCCTGCTGTAGGCCTCAGATCTATGGTCAGTAGCAAGTTTCCTCATTTCTGTGACCCTTTTTACGGTTTTTCTATATTTCATATGTAAGTGAAGCCAACAGATATTTATCTTTTTCCTCCTGAATTATTTCTATTTTTTAAAGTTTTATTTATTTATACATACAAGAATGGGGGTACGAGGGCCTCCCCTGGTGGTGCAGCAGTTGAGCGCTGGGCTGTGAAGCTGCCCGCAGCCTCTGCAGTGCCAGTTTGATCCCCGGCCACCGGTGAGGGCCCCATATGGCACAGAGACCTCTTCTGCCACGCCTGCTGCTCCCCTCAGCAGTGTATTTCGTCATTCTGTCTGTTCTGCTCCCTACTCTGGTTCTCTCACCCTCCCGCACTTCTGACTGTACCCAGTGCTTGTATAAATAAATAAATAAATCTTTAAAAATAATAAAAATAAAAAAAAGAATGGGGTACAAGCCAGAGGTGTGGGGGCTGAGTCCAGAGACAGAGTGGAGAACAGAACAGGCAGATCAACTGAAATACTCTGCTGAGGGGAGCAGCGGGTAAGGAGAGGTCTGCTGCGTCATGTGGGTCACCTCCCTGGCCAGGGATCCAATTCATGTTGCAGTGGCTGCGGATAGCTTCATAGGTTACATCTTAACCCCTTGCACCACCAGGGAGCCCCTCCCCCACCATCTGAATTATTTCCCTTAGTCTAATCGCTTCCAGCTCCAGCCACGCCCAGTAAATAGCTTGAGTTTCATAGGAACATTTTAATATGTGGGCAAGACTGGTATTTTTAGCGGGAAGTAGCATTTTAATATTCCAATAATTCCATTGATGTTCATCCAAGGTAAATAGAATTTAGTTCACTACAAAAAAATACCTAATTCTTTTGTGTCATTTGGGTATTTATTGCAATGTAGATGCAGTTTCTACACAACTGAGATCCAGGGAATAACCTGGCTGACGTGGACCTCCTCCTTTTCCTGATGGTCCCCTCTGAAGAGAGTAAGTGAAATGTCAGGGTGAAGCCTGGGTTCTCACTGACAGCTCCTGGCCAGCTCCTTGTACATTTACTGGATATCATTGACACTGATCTGACCTTTAAAAATAAAGGTCAGGGTATGATTCTAAAAATCTGTTAAGTGATGAAATGGCAGGGGGAAAAAAAGAGTTTTACCAAGGTCCACTGAAGTTGGAATTAATCTATTTAACCTAAGACCACACAATCCCAAAGAACAACATAAGAAAAACCGAAGGTAACAAAGCCCCCTTATATTTGCAATGTGCACTGTAGAGAACTAGACTCTACATCTGGGTCATAAATTTGAAGAGATGCAGACACACTGGTACCTCAATCAGAAGGATCAGAGGCACCCAGACCCACACCAAACAATGTTTTATTGATAAATATCAATGTGTTTATAAAAGAGAGATGAACCAAAACAAAGAGACACCACACTGATTGGGAAAAAAATCTTTGCACTCCATACCGCTGATAAGAGACTGATCACAGATATATAAAGAACTCACATGACTCAACAAAAAGAAAAAAACAACCCAGTTGGGACTATAACCAAGATGAAAATGTGAAAAAATGAAAAATGATGTAAAAATATATAAAAGAAGATAAAAGAAAAGAAATGGGCAGAGGAACTTAAAAGACACTTCTCCAAAGAGGAAATGCAAA